CGGTTAATTTACAGTATTAAGTGTCTTACACATGAGGACAATTTAGTTATTTTATTAATTACTATTATTTTGTTGAATTTTCATTTTTTTTTAAACATATAATATTTATATATGGTAAATAAAATAAATAAACTCACACACCCTCCTCATTTTTGGCAAGGTTTGAACTATTGACCTCCTAGGAGACCAAAGACTCATATACCGCTAAACCAAAGACTCTTTAATTTGAATTTTCATTTTGTTCGCTTAATCCATGGGAACAATTACATGAACATCATAAACATATACAAAAATTTCATTTAATCTGAGAAATTTTAAAAGAAACCTTGTATCTCAAATTTATTTCAATGAGAGTTAAAAATCTTTTATTTGTAAGAATATCTCAAATATATTAAATAAAATAATTAATTAAAAAAATAAAGAGTGTAATCATATAGTATATGAAATAATATGTATAAAAATCAATTATTTGGGAGAAAAATAATAGTAGAAGACAGAACATGTTACCTCATTAGCATATGAAACCATATAGGTAAAAGGGACAGTTTGTCACACGTGCAAACTTTATGTTCACAAATAAGACACCTTAACTAACATGATTAATTTCAAAGATCTCCGATACACCTCAAATTTTAACAATAATCAGGTTAAATGTATTTTTATATATTGTTAAATATATATATATATATATATATATATATATACTTCATACATATCAATATCACAACCTATTTTTTACATTTTTATTATATGGTTTGATCTGATTTTGACATTAACTCTGGTGCCTATAGCAACATCCAATTACTGAGTTGGTTTTGAAATTACAATTTTGAATTGCTTTTCACCTTGTATCTTGATTAGATATCATCGTATTGTAATTAGTATACAACTCTACATTAATTAGTGAGATAAATCAGTTTGAGTAGAACCCATTTCCTAAAAGCCATCTCAAGAACAAAGGGTACCCAATTACCCAAATACATGTATACATATAGTCATATACCAATCTTGACTACCTCACGATGCAAGACAAATACTACTTCAATAATCGTAAACGTAAGCCATACAAATTACATCCCTTTCATTTATTAGTAATCAATACTCAACCATTAGTGACTGTTTATATTAATTTAGTTAAAATCCAATAAATAATTAAATAATATGATACTGAAAGTATAAATATAAATACGTAACTGATAAATTAATTTTTATTTCTAATATTTTGTCTTTGTCCATGCAAAGATGAAAATCCAATCTTTAATTTGTAAGCATCATCTCAATATTTTCTTGTTTCCCATAAATTACAAACCCTAATTTCATGGCATGTGTTTGTTTTATATTTCTAAATAACTTGTACCCCCAATGGAATCACTTGTCTTTATCTCCCAAGTGGTCAATAAACTAACATGATCAACCCCAAATTGGTCTCTCCAACACAACCCCATTTTCTTGAATCTTGAAACCAACAATACCCAATATTCAAAACTGAAATTGACCAATTTTGATGGCTCAGCCAAGCCAAAGTAACGTCACGAGCCGAGCTAAACGGAGCCGAGCCAACTACCCAAGTATTGTGAGGCTATATATCTTATTGAAGTTCAATGGATGAAGGGAGTAGCTAGAGGCTTTGAACTAAACAGGATGAAGCCAATATGGGTTGTCAAGACTGGTAGTTGGGTGTTATAAAGGTGGTGGCTTTGGCTGGTCACCAAATTACATATATATATATATATATATATATATATATATAATAAAACAAGTAAGAAGATTTGACGTATTGGTACAGTTCATTTTTTGATATCGGGTATTGGTTGTTATTGTATTTAAATGGATTCTATTCGTTTTTAGTGAATTTTTTTGATTTGAATCTTGTAACTTGATGTATTTATTTGTTATGATGATTTGATATTTTAATACTTTTATGTGACAGAATCATGTGTTGTTTGGATTTTTGCTGGTAAGACGTCTGGTATTTAGATTTATGTCAAATCATTTTTAGAGGGATTAGTAGAATTAAATAATACTAATACTTATATAGGGGGTGTTTGGGATTGCTTATTCAAAACAACTTATGCTTTTTTGTAAAAGTGCTTATTAACTTATGTGGTATCAAACCGGAGTTTTGTAAAAAAGTGTTTGGATTAGCTTATAGCGGTACCAAAAAGCAATAAGCTGATAAGTTGTTTTTTAGTATTTGACAAATTTTGCTTATATATGTAAAATGACCAAAAAGGACAGTCTTTCGTATAATAATATTTTTGATTATTAACTTATTTGATTTTTTAACATGTAAAAATTTATTTTTCATCATTTATAATAATATTTTTGACAAAAATTTATATCAATAAGATTAATAATTAATAAACATTAATAAAACAGGGTTAAAATGGTAAACTGGTAATAAGCAGTTTTTCATAAGTCAAGAAGGATTAACTTATCAAAAACTGCTTATTACCGGTTTGGCACCGGTATAAGCAGTTTTTTTTTTCATTACCCAAACACTAAAAAACAGCTTATCTCCGGTGTCAGACTGAAATAAGTTAAAAAGCACATTTTATAAGCAATCCCAAACACCCCCATAATATGAGATAAAAATAAATCTGTATTTATGAGTTTTGTTACCCGGCTTACTACATGACAGTGAATGATGTAAACAAAAGAAAAAAAAAAAATCATATATTTTGGGAAAAAATAATGTGGGGTTTCAATGATTCAGTCAGTTAAATTTTAATTGTGAAAACATAAAGTTAATCTTCATTTTACCTTAAATAAGTATAATTATATATATATATATATTTATTTATTTATAGAAAGCATTATAATATCAAATTTTTTTATATACAAAAAGGTATAACATCGTTAGCAGGTCATAATCATCTTAATTGGCGATGACGTACATTCGAAAACGCCCTCGGACCTCTATCGTATGTGCTCTTTCCATACGTAATCCGTGTATACAAGTCACACACATACATCATATATCTGTATCATGCCCACATAAACACAAATACATAATTCGCCCTTTATCTCCTCTTCAAACAGAGACACATTGCACACAATAGAATCAAATCCATAAACCATTGGTTTAATCACACTAATGACATGATGATTATTATTGACTTTTTGTTATAAACTTATAACAGCTGTCTAATTATTTCTAATCCTCTTTTTATGACACCTCACTTATTTCAATAAATTAAATGTCTTTAAATTAGTTATTAATCATATAAGCATTATTCATTAATAATCACCCAAATCTCCAAAACCAAGCACCTTCCAAATTGGCCCTTTACCCCCCCCCCCCCCTTTTATTTAATGGACCCCATGTTCCCTCCCCATGCATTAGTAGTGGTTGGGTATGCCATAATTGTGTCATTATAATACTCAATTATGAATTAGTGATGATCTAATGTCCCCCCATAATAACCTTTTCTTTATATATAATTATCAACTCTTCCAAAGGGTCAATTGGTGCAAATGCCTCCACATCTATTGACAAAAGAAACTAAGTTGGGTATTTTAAATGGGTGGATATAAGTGTATCTGTATTTGTTATCAGTATATGAAAATACATGAATTATTAGAAATACTTCTGGTTTAGCAGTATTTCGGGTTACAGATATAGTCCAACTTCCAAGAAATAAAGGGCTTAAAGCTTATCGAAGGCGGAAAGATAGTTGACCTATTTATGTGTTGCGGACTCGTTGAAGCTGTGTAGGTTTGAAGATTATTTGTGCATTGTCTTGAAATATTTTACTCGATATTATGTAAGTAAATCAAATATATTTGTCTTAGTTAAATGTTAAAATACTTTATAAAAGTGATAATTAAATAGTAAAATCTTATAAATGAAGTACAAATAAATTATAGAGATGACCTATTATTAACAAATTTTATCATAATTTTAAATTAAATTAAATTAAATATCATGAATTTAGTCTATTGTTGTGGGCTTTAAGATGTTATATAGGTGTAGACTTATGAATGATCTATGACGTTTCGTGCATTTGTTCAACTAGTTATCGTAAGTAGAGGGGTTTTTTTGGATATAAAAGGTGTGTACGTTAAACTTTCAAGGGGTGCTCAGAAATAAAATACAACAGACGTTAACTAAAAAAACCAAAAAAGTCTATCAAAAAGCCAAAAAATTCAAAATAATCCTCGAAATACAACAAAAAAACTAAAAATATCTCTCAACTGGTATAATTCGATTAAAACCATATCGGACTTAGACAGATGTATTTTTATTTCTTAAATCGACATAATCATCAAACTGTTTTGACTTTTCCACAAGATCAAACCGTAACTTTCCGGACATTCAATTCAATTTATCTTTAAGAGTGTATCCACTTATGGAAAAATTTGGATCAACCTTTGATTTCATATTGTACAATCATAAGGAGTGTTTGGAATTGCCTATTTGAAACAACTTATGTTTTTCTACAAAAGTGCTTATCAACTTATAATAAGTTAAAATTGTTTAACTTTTTCAAAAACTCCTTATTATCGGTTTGACACCAGTATAAACTGTTTATCCATACACTCGAAAGTGCTTATTACCACCGGTGTCACACCAAAATAAGTCAATAAGTTGTTTTCATAAGCAATCCCAAATACCCATATAATAAAAGAATTATTAGAAAATGAAAAAAAAAACCAAGTAACTAAAAATTGTGTCTTTGTCTTTGTGTGGGTTCCTATTTGTCTTGATAACCATTAACAGAGAGAATCTCTCTTCAAAACTTCACACATTTATTCTTCCTTCTTTAGTATAATCCCCTCCATCTCTCCTTCTTTTACCTCTCTCTCACCATCTCTCTCTCTCTCTCTCACACACACACAAATACACATACAGAGAGAGAGAGAGAGAGAGAGAGAGACACCCCTTCTCCCAACTAATTTCACTAATTTAATCCTACAGAGACCACCTACATTTTTATATTACATACATGTTCATACCCACTCTTTTTGATTCCATGAAAATATATATTCTCTCCTCCACTTCCAAGCAAGCAACTTCATCCCTTTTCCCCCCTTTTTAGTTTCTTGATTTCTGTGTTGTGTGTTCTTGCTTGTTAACTTGAGATCCATTTCAAATGGGGGTTTCCCAAATCAATTCCCCACTTCCCCTTTCTTCATCTTTACCCATAATTTCCACCACGAGCTTCGAGGATGACGATGAAATCTATCGCTACAATGAAGAACCTGATCTGAAATTCAACAACTTCATTCACAAAATGGTTTGGGATTTAGGGTTTGCTTGCTTTTTCCCAGCAATCAGTAGGAAGAAAGATGAGAGAAAGAAGAAAATGGGAAACAATTTGGAGAACAACAAGGCGTGGCTTCTTGCGGAATCTGGTGGGTGTGTTGCAGAATTGGCGAATGCTGAACCACACTCGGTTCATTCGTCTTTTAGATTCAGTCTCTGCTCACAAGTTGAGCTTGAATCCATGAGTGTTAATTCTTCATCTGCAACCGTCTTAATGGTGAATTTGGATAATGGCTTGATTGAACCAAGGTCTCAAGAACTCAAATGGAGAAGAATCGAGTCTTTAGAGAGGAGTATATCTCCTGTAGCCCATACTCTACTTAGATTCAGCTATGCTGAAATCCTTTCTGCAACTCGCAATTTCTCCAAAGGTAAATCTTTGTAAAATTTTCTTCATTTTTTACTTTTCAAATGCGACGTCTTTGACTTTTGACCTTATTGCAACTCAGAAATTGATGTGGTTGTTGACCCATATCAATTTTTCATTTTTAATTTCAATTCTTCAAGAAAAAACTTCATAATATTAAGAAATACAATTATAGGATGTGGCTGTTTCATAAAGCTCATAGTATTAAGATGTGGCTGTTTCATTTCTAACAGAACTCATATCAATCTTGATTTGGAAATCACTAGCTTTAATCCCAATGGAACTGTAAATTACTGAATTAGGCTCTTAATCCTCTGAATTTGGCTCTTAATCCTCTGAATTTGGATCTGATTTGAATCTTTTTTATCTGAGTAGGGAGGGTTTTGGGGAGAGGAGCATTAAGCTATGTGTTTAAGGGAAGAGTTGGGATTTTGAGGACTACTGTGGCCATCAAAAGGTTGGATAAGGAAGACAAGGAAGCTCCAAAGGCTTTTTGTAGGGAACTGATGATAGCAAGTTCTCTTCATAACCCATTCATCGTTCCACTCGTGGGGTTCTGTATCGATCCAGAAGAGGGTTTGTTCTTGGTTTACAAGTATGTTTCAGGTGGAAGCTTAGAACGGTATCTTCGTGGTACTAATTCTTCAACCCCTTCACTTGTGAATTTGTGGGTTTTCGTTCTTGATCTTGAATCTTTAACGAATTAAGAAAACGCCCGTTTGCAGAAACAAGAAATGGTAGAAATGGCGGATCAAAACTTCCGTGGTCGGTAAGGTATAAGGTTGCCACAGGTGTTGCTGAGGCTGTAAGGTACTTGCATAATGGAACCGAAAGATGTGTGGTTCATAGAGATATTAAGCCTTCAAACATCCTTCTTTCTTCAAGAAAATCGCCTAAGGTGAGAAAGAAATTTGATTCAGTGATTCCCCTTTTTCGTTTTCTGCTGGTTTATGTATGCAATGATTCGCACGGGTCGTTGGGATTTATAGCTTATTTGGTCTTGCAGCTATGTGACTTTGGATTAGCTACATGGACTTCTGCTCCTTCGGTTCCTTTTCTGTGCAAAACCGTGAAGGGGACATTCGGGTAAGTTCTTGTAAGAATATCTGGAACCCCATTAGATTACTTTTCAAAAGAGCGGGATTCCAACATATATGGAGAAGAAACGGACAGATTGTCCCAAATGTGTCAAGAGGGGGCTAGACGGACATAAATTGTCTTGGAATGTCAAGTTTCTCGAGTGGTAGTCCTTTGCTCTGATACCATATAAGAGAATGTGTGGAACCCTATTAGATTACCCTCCAAGAAAGGTCCCAACATATATAGGTTTTGATGGACTCCAACACGGACCATTAAAACCTATATACTTTGGGACCATATGCGGCCCTTTTGGAGAGAATAGTAATTTAATGGGAGAGAATAGTAATTTAATGGGGTTCCATATATCATGACAAGTTTTTGACGAGAATTTGCATGCATACGATGCTTGTTCTAATTGTTTGCTTTTAGTTGGTTTCAATGACAAAACATGATATGTTTTTGCAGGTATTTGGCTCCGGAATATTTCCAACACGGGAAAGTATCCGATAAAACCGATGTTTATGCATTTGGGGTGGTTCTTTTGGAGTTGATAACAGGCCGCAGGCCGATCGAATCAAAAAGAGGAGCCGGAGAAGAGAACTTGGTTTTGTGGGTGAGTCGTAACTTGCTTTGCTTTTTTTTATCATCTGGCTGTCCTAATAGACTGTTTTATACGACTACATGTTCTAATAGACTGTTTTATAGAATTTAAAGTTTATAAACACAAACACTTGTAAACTGGCGTCCTACGATGTAAATTTGTTTGGTCCTATAAAATAGTCTATTATGACATTTAGACATATTCGACGTCCTATAAAGTCGATTTTGTTATGGTGCAGAAAAAACACATTCAAAAACCAATAATCCATCAAAATTTTGCAGGCGAAGCCGTTATTACAGCAAGGATCCATAGAGAAACTACTCGATCCCCGGATCAAATTCACCGAACGAAACTTAGACCAGATATCCCGGATGATACAAGCCGCAGACGCCTGTATAAACAACGAAGAATCAAAACGACCAAATATTGACTTAATTATTTCGATCTTGAACGGAGCCGAACCAAATCCACCAATCCGGCCAAAGCCCAACGCTAATTTATCTTCTAACAACTACGTTACCGATTGCTACCCTCCGATTTGGCAAACGAAGAACGAAATGAAGTCTCATTTAGCTTTGGCAATGCTCGGAGTTTCGGAGTTGGAAGACGATCACGATCATCTGTACGGCCGTTGACCGACGTTTTAGAATGAAAAAAGAACATCCATTTTGAAGCTATAAATTTGTTTAAATATAGCAAGAGTACAGAAATTGAAGATTCAAAAGCGTGATCGAGAGTTTGTATATAGATCATGGAGTTGAATCATTATGGTAAAAAACTAATCAAATTGTTCCGAATATCCACGGTTAAAATATAATGTTGGTAAGCGTTTTAAACCTGGTAAGTTTTAAACCTGGTAAGTGTTGAGTGGGTAAGAGTTCTATCCACCATTTAATTGGTAAGACTCTCGGTTCATGTTATGTCTCATACTGGGTAAGATTTTCAGCCTTTTTCATATTTAATTGATATAATAAGTGATATCGGTAAACACTTACCTGATAAATAAAAATACATGAGCTTTTTATTTTGGAAATGTGTGATTTCAAACTCACTCAAATTAATACGACAATTTGTTACTGCAAGTTTCGCCAACAATCCTCGAGTAAATCTCCCAACGACCACAAGCGCAATTAAAATATAAAAACGTTTCCAATAGATTTTTAAAATTTATTTAAACTTTAAAATCTCAAAAAAAGAATTATATTCAATTTCAACGGTTTTTTCGTCTATCTATATCTATACTATATTATAAAGCATTTGACAGAAACTTTTAAAAAATATTTTTATGCATGAATTATTTGTTTATTGATCCATATTACTTAACATTCAATATTACAAGTAATTTTACGTAAGTACAATTTATTAAAGCTCCATTTTTGAATTCGTGTAGCTAATTGCAGATAAACATAATCAAATACAAGATAAATATATATTTTAAATATAAAAAATCTAAAATATAATTTAAGATAATCATTGAGTTCTAACAGAATGTTTAATTATTATATTTATAAATATTATATTATTAAATCAAAAGTAAATTACTTTGTTATTAAATCTAAATTAAATTATAATAAAAATTGAATTAAAGAAGTTATACAAAAAAAAAAAAACGAAAACTATTAAATAGTTAATTTGATATTAATATCGATTTATTTTTTTTCAAAATTTTATGCTATATTCAAATTTATATTTTATTTGACAAAAAAAACTCTTAAAATCGTATTATCTCGATAGAGACAAAATAAAAACTAAACATTAAAATGAAGATTTATCTCGCTGAATTGCACGAGTACCCTTCTAGTACTATATTATAAAGCATTTGACAAGAACTCTTAACAACTATTTTTTATAGATAAGGTACTGTTTATTGATGCATATTACTTAAAATTCAACATTACAAGTAAATAATAGATAAATACAACTTATTAAAGTCTCATACTTGAATTCGTATAACAGACTGCAGATAAACATAATCAAATACAAGATAAACATTTTATTTTAAATATAAAAAATATAAAATATAATTAGAATAATCATTGTGTTATAACAGAATACTTAACTATTATCTTTATAAAAAATATATTATTAAAAAAATTATTCATTATTAAATTTGAATTAAATTATAATAAAAAAATTGAATTAAAAAAATTACACAACAAAACAAAAGCTTTTAAATAGTTAATTTGATACTAATTTCAATATTTTTTTTAAATTTTAAGATATCTTCAAATTTAATTAAAAAATTTGACAAAAACTCTTAAAAACCATATTACTTAAAATACTGTTTATTGATGCATATTACTTAAAATTCAACATTACAAGTAGATAATGCATAAGTACAACTTATTAAAGCTTCATGCTTGAATTCGTGTAACGAACTGCAGATAAACATATTCAAATACTGGATAAACATTTCATTTTAAATCTAAAAAATATAAAATATAATTAGGATAATCATTGTGTTATAACAAAATACTTAATTATTATCTTTATAAAAATTATGTTATGAAACGATAAATAAATCACTTCGTTATAAAACCCTAAATTTAATTATAATAAAATAATTGAATTAAAAAAATTACACAACAAAACAAGAACTATTAAATAGTTAATTTGATACTAATATCGATTTTAAGACATTTTCAAATTTATATTTTTATTCAAAAATAAAAACATTATCGTTTTTCTCAAAACCACATAAAACCGTATTATAACATCGATAGGGAACAAAATAAAACGAAACATTAAAATTGAGATATATTTCGCTACATTAAATGAATATTGTTCTATTTCATAAATTACAACATTAGTTAAGGGTTTATACAAGGTCATAATTTATGATTAGACAACCACCTTATTTTTATTTTTATAAATTAAATTATTCGAGTCTTTTTAATATAGTATATTAATAGAATTAGGTTTGATGTCGTATTTGAAAATTCATTGGATTTTAGTCATCTACCATAATATCACTTGCCCAACTTCCATTCATAAAGAAACATTATGTACGTTGATCGATTTATTATTTTTAATCATATATGTTCGGGTCAATTTGTTTGTATCTTGATTGATTTTAAAGAGCAGTTAAGAAGATCTCTAGTGAGTGACTTTATAGGGCTCGAATAAGCATGCCCAATTCCCATCTCCATCCCTGATCTCAATCTCCATTTCCGTCTTCGTCCCATTTTCGTACCTACCGGGGAATATGATCATATCCCCATTGCCATCCCCAACGGGGAACGGGGTTCCCCCAGTGTGGAATCGGGGATTTCCCCTGTTAACATAAAGATGTTTTAAATCAAATATGTTAAACACCATATTTGATCGATAATGGTTCATGTTTAAATCTCACATATTTTCAAATTTTGCTTTTATAGAATATCAAATATCCTATTTCCCCTGTACAACCCCCTTTGTTCTAATACATTTTGACCATCCAAAACTTAGAATTACATTCCGACTTCTAAACAAGAAATAAAGTAGACACTTTTATATTTCAGATGCCTCTGACCTCATGTCATTTGGATTTTTCTTTAATTTCATATGAATTTTCTAAAATAGGACAGAAACATTCCCTTACCGGATGAATATGACAAAGACCAAGAATCTTACCTGGTAAGAGCGAAGACAAAGACTGAAAATCTTACCTAGTAAATGATGGCAACAACTTTTACCACGAATAACGCTTATCGGCTAAATTGTTACGTACGATGTCGTTTTGGTAGACTAAAATCTTACCAATAAGTAAGTGATAAAGTTGAATTTTACCGCTAAACGTTTACTGGTAAATGTTTAGGTAAACGACCCTTAGTCTAACATCAGTCCTATGAAATTAAAGGAACTGAACATATACGAGCTTATATAAACACATATAGTTTGGTTGAAACCAACGCTATATAGGAACCAAACAAATAGTTCAAACCAAATCTCGAGGTTTATATCAATACTATCTTATAAAACATTTAGTAAAAACTCTTAAAAATAACTTATTAAGTATTAAATAACGTTTATTTATGTTAATATTATAAAGTTCCATGTTATAAATAATTATAAGATATGTACAACTTCTTAAAATTCTATAAACCCATAAGAATATTTTATCTTATCTATAGTATATTATAAAACATTTGACAAAAACTCTTAAAAACTATTTTTATACACAAAACACTGTTTATTGATGCATATTACTTAAAATTGAAAATTACAAGTAAATTATGCATAAGTATAACTTATTAAAGCTTCATATTTGAATTCGTGTAACTAATTGCAGATAAACATAATCAAATATTGGATAAAAATCTCATTTTGAATATTAAAAATATAAAATATAATTAGGATAATCATAGAATTCTAACAGAATACTTATTTATTATCTTTTTAAAAAATTATATTATTAAACCTAAATTAATTTTTTTTGTTACTAAACCTAAATTAAGTTATAATTAAAAAAATTAATTAAGAAAATTATACCAAAACATAAGAACTTTTAAAAAGATTAATTTGATACTGATGTCAATATTTTTTAAAAAAAAATTATGATATTTTTAGATTTATATTTTATTCAAAAATAAACACATTATCGTTTTCTCAAAACCAAATAAAACCATATTATATTGACATAAAAAAGAAATAAAACAAAACACTGAAATCAAAATTGTGTCTCGATGCATTGCACGAAGAAGAAAATTATAACCTTATAAAACTATAAAAATAATAAATATTCTATTCTCTTTTAAGATATATATATATATATATATATATATTCAACTTTTATTTGGATTTCCAAACCATATAAAACTATAAAAATAATATTAAAAGAAACAAATAATAGAGTATTGAAAATTTGAATTCTTAACTTCAATAAAATTAATATATATCAGTGTATGTTTGTTGTTTTCGTATATATTTTCTTGTTTTTTTTGTTTGATTCGGTTGTGGGTTGGTTCTGCTTTTGATTGCTGCTTCTAATCCTTCTCAAATGTGTAATTTTTATTACTCTTTTTTAAATCAATTTACTGTTTTAATATATATATATATATATATATATATATAGGGTATATTTCTTTTACAACTCTCCCTATTTATACAACCCATGCAACCTCCCTCTCAACCAATCAATGAATTTTGTTTGTTTTAATTTATTTTTTAAATGAAAAGGTTAATATTGTCATTTGCTAATTTTATATAATAATAATTATTTTTAAATAATATCAATAAATAT